TCTCTTGCCAGCGACGCTTCATGGCGAGTCCACCAAGGTGAATAGCTTCGCTAGAACCAGTAGTTGCCGATCCGATGGCTTTCTCGCCCTTCTGTGCGCCCCACATGTTAGCAATGATGGATACACATCGTGCGTGCATGTCCATCATTGCTGGGTACTCGTCAGCATCCGACATGTTCTTCGACAAATTCTCAATCATGAGCTGTTCGGCCTCCTTCTCCATGTACGTTCCAACGAATGAAGCCAAGTTCAACTGGGGCCGTCCGTCAAGATCAAGCTCGTCCTTGAGTAGCTGGTGGACAACATCGGCAGGAGCGCCATCGTGCGGGATTTTGAATTTTGACAACTCCGTGCCAGCGGCATAGCGACTCGAGTAAGGTGTGATATGTGAGGTTGCTCGGTTCGCGGACTTGTGTCCTCCGGCCTTGTGAATTGGGTGGTCCTTTAGTGTCTCAAGGAGCTCATCCGTGTCTACATGTCTCGCGAGCCCGGCCATTGTGATGAATGTTTGGAGGTAGTTACGTTGGTAGGGGTTGAGATTGATGCAAAGTTTGCAAGCATCAGGCAGGACATATCAGTTTTATACGACCAGGAGTGTTTGCTGGTACACGTTGACAACGTACATACGCATGACGACACATTACGTCCGTTGTCGCTCACACGCTCACGTTGGCCATGCAGCCAAAATGGAATCTGCAGACCAAGCAGAACCCGCGTTCAAAAGCTTGACATTTGCTTGGTAAAAAGCTTGTTTCTGGCAGTGAATGGATCTTGTGGGACGTGTCATGACCAATTAAGGAGCCGTTTTCAAGCTCCGCAACGGGAGTCGGCTAGGGATTTCAACCGCGGAACTGGCAAACAATGGGATCAAACACGCGGCTTTCTATGGGACTGGCCAATCTGGCCTCATACCTTGCAGCGAAAGCAAAGCAGGAAAATAACGCATAGTGACGAATCTCGTATAGACCAAAAGCCGGAAGTAATAGCCTTCATGCACATTGATGGGTCAATGACGGAATTCTGGCTGTCACCCGGTCCGTCGTTTCGCCGACAGCGCGCCGTCACGTGACAGAGAGCTCAACTGAACAGCACCAAATCTGCCATATCTGATATTATCCCAACAAACCTTTCGGAGATCCTAGCGGCATCGGATGTGACACCGTCAGACTCTCCCAAAGATCTGATGCAGGCTTACCTGGTTGATGGCTACGAAACGCTCAAAGTTTCGGGTGGTGAGATGGGATTGGTGATCATGACGTAGTCACGTCATCGCCATCACATCCGTAGAACGCGGGGAAGATCGACTGACGCGTCCTTGACAGTCTGGACAAGACGGTACGCGGCCTCGGTGCCTTGACGGTGTGTAGAGAATATACCTTCAAATCAAGGGTCTATGTTTGCAAAGCAGTAGAGCTCGAGTGTTTGCTGCTATTTCTAACCACTTCATCAAGCACAATTGTTGTTGTTTGAGGTTGGTCCGCCTTGTAGTCCGAAGCCCAAGAAGCGGGTCACCTACCGAGAGCTCCGCCCCAATAACGTTGCCACGCAGTGGTGTTGTAATCGACTCGTCTTACTCTTTAGCTTGGTTGCCTAGCTACTTGTTACAGTACTTGTGCTCCCCTACCATTCTTGCTCGTTCACCCATTCCTCCTCAATCACCAGGTCAACATGCGATTTTCACGCATTGTACCAGTCTTGCCTCTGGCGACTGCATTCGTCATTACCGAGCCAGAAGTCTTCTCAAACATCAACATTGAGAAGTCTGGAAAGTCCCTTGTCGACAACGCTCACACTGTTCTCGACAACGCCCAAAATGTCATTGACGATGCATTCAGCAAGGTCAAAAACGGCGCCAAGGACGTCTACAGCAAGATTCACCATGCTGGTGCCGATGTCGAGTCGTGGTTAGAGGGCTCTCAATTTGACGACAGCATCATTGACTTTGAGAATCCTGAACACCCTCCTCACGATGGACCGCCACACCATGGCGGCCCTCACCACCCTCCGCACGACCAAAAGCCGAACCGCACAGTCTACGAGCTCATCAACGAGAGCAAATACACTACAAAGCTTGCAAAATGGATCAATGAGTTTGACGACATCGTGGAGGCGCTCAACAGCACCAAGGCCAACTACACAGTCTTTGCTCCCACAGACGAGGCTTTTGAGAAGATTCCCGAGCATCACCACAAGCCTTCCAAGGAAGTCTTGAAAGATATTCTGCTGTACCATGTCACCGACGACTTGTATCCTGCTGGTCGCGTACTCCACACATACACCATCCCAACTCTGTACACCCCAAGCAAGAACCTAGGTCACCCGCAGCGCCTTACTGTTCGCGTGACACTCAAGGGTCCTGCGATCAACTTCTACAGCCGCCTCGTAGCAGTAAACATTTTCGGAACCAACGGCGTCGTCCACGGTGTTGACTCCATCCTCGTGCCACCTCCGAACGTCGCCTCCATCATCGACTTACTCCCTGGCGAGTTCAGCACTCTTGAACTCGGTCTCACAAAGACAGGCATCTATGAGAAGATGAACAGCACTGAGTACCCACACAACGGCGGTACATTCTTCGCGCCCTCCAACTTTGCGTTCCAGAAGCTTGGAGCGCGTGCCAACGCCTTCTTGTTCTCAAAGTATGGTGAGAAGTACCTGAAGGCTCTTCTAGAGTACCACATTGTCGTTGATCAGACACTTTACACTGATGCCTTCTACGATGGGCGTAAGGATGACAAGGAGACTGTCGAGGAGCGCCCAGGAGGCTACCACTACGATCTCCCTACTGCTCTTTGCCACAAGAACCTCGCCGTTGACGTCGGTCGTTACGGACCTTTTGTCGAGATCAGGATCAATGGCTTCTCGCGTGTCACTGTTCATGACGGTGTAGCTAGCGACGGTGTCATCCAGGTCGTCTCCAACGTTCTGATCCCACCCAAGACTTCTGGCGGCGAGCAGAGCTTTTGGAAGGGTGAAGAGCTCGACGTTGAGGACCTCAAGGAGCGTCTCCAGCCTCTTGTTGAGAACATGGAGTTGTAGATCAACAACTCTTATGCGAGCCCTGAAATTTGTTACTTTCTTGCTACGAGACGATCTTTACGACATATCCCTTGTGTAATAACTTTTCCCTTCAAGTGGAGTGGTCACTTCACACTACCTTGTGTATGAGTTAGATAGCAAATTAACAAACGAATACAAACCTGACACTATATGTCGCGCTTGCAATCGTGATATTGCTACTACTACTACTACTACTACTACTACTACTACTACTACTACTATGTTTCATCTAGTCTAAGCTGACTTTGAAGTCCACGTGTGCAAGTTACCATTCTTTGTAATAGAGGATTGTAATACGTTTGGTCCGTCATAGTCTGGCTGTAATTACCGCTACTATTCTTTTCGTGTAAGTAGCAGCAATCACACAGTTAATGCTCCAGCCTAAAGGCGATGTCATTGGATCTCATTTTATCGCAAGACCTAAACGCGAAATGTGTCTATATCATACACAAAAGCAAACCAGAGTCATGAGTAGCAAATACCTCTACAATGTCCTGTTTCTACGAGAAATCCTCGCCTCCTTCTTCAATCGTGTTCTTGACTCGCAACAAAAGTGTAGTCTTCCACTTGTCAAGCTTGGTGAGCTGGTCAAAATTGAACAACTGTGAGAAGTTAGTACGACGCGCATTTGCGAATGTGTGCCAATTGGAGAGAACATGCCTTCTCAGAAAACGCCTCCTGATCACCGTCTTGCACTGCAGCTGCCAAGTCAACAAGAAGTGCATGCTCCCTCTGCTGCTGGAAGCTTGGATCCAGCTCTCTATACCTGTCAAGCGCAGTGTTGACACCGACCTGGTCGCCTGTGCATAACTGGCAGATACCAGCCTTGAGTAGGTACTCCTTGACGGACCAGCGCATAAGGTTATTAGAAATCGAGGTTTTGGCAACCTTCTCGTAAATTTCGATGGCTTTGTAGTAGTCCTTGCCTTCTAGAGCGACGAGGTCGGCGGTCTTGAGCCAAAGCTTGTTGGCAAGTGCTTCAGCATTGTCACTCTCGTACCAGCCAGCCGCTTCCTCGTATGCGGCTGCAGCTCGGGTGTTGTCGCCGAGCTCGACTTCGTAGAGCTCTGCAAGGTTCTGCTTGTGGGTGGCTGCACGGCGGAAGTTGCCCTTGCTGCAGTAATGCGCAATGGCTTTGTCTAGACACCGCGCAGCTGCTTCTGGGTCATCTTTGCGGTAGGCCTCTGATAACAAATCAGTCACAGCCGTTTCAAACGTGGAAGAACATTTGAGTGAAGAAACTTACTGAAGGCGTCTGTAAGCGTGTTTGCTTCGTCATCAGGCTCGTTCAGATTCTGACGTTGTACTGTTGCTGCTCTTTCGAAAGCCTCGCCTGCCTCCTTGCCTAGAACATGTTAGTTCTTAAGACGGGACCGTTTCCTAGTACGCATCTGACCATACCCATCTTTTGCATCCGGAACGCATTTGCTGCAGCGATGAATTGATCTGCGGCTGCCTCATCTATCACGTGCGTCAGTCCAGGCAAACAGCAAGTCAGGGTATCACATCAGATCATACACTTGTCTTGCTTGTTGCTGAAGAAGCTGAAGCCACCAGATGCTTTCTGCAATGATGCTTCTGCCTGTTGTCACGTCAATATCAGTTATTCGCTTTGTGGCTGAGTCTTGGAAGGCCCCACCTGTCGCAGCAGCGCTCGTGGATCGCCGGCCATGTTTGCTGAGTTGTCGAGTGCGGAGGTTGTTTGCAGGAGAGGGAGGGCCAGTACGAGATATGAGTGTATAGGCAGATGTTATGTTGAAACTTTGGTCGAGACAGGTGGCTGCACTTGCTGTCTCAATGAGCGATGACGACCCACGTTGGTCCATGCGAGCGGGCTGTGACCTCGGCGGCGGCTTTACCACTTCGGCACTAGTGTTTGCAGCCCGCCTCAAGCTTCACGACGTTGCATTCACAGCAGCGTCGAGGCATCCGCAAGAAACATGGCTACACGTCGCGCATTTGCAACCTCGAGGTTTTACAGTCCTTTGCAACGCCTTCAAACACGCTGCTATAGCCGAGGCGTACATCCCGACGAGCTTGAAAAGCTTCTAGCAGAGCCCACATGGTCCGTTGAATCTCTCCTACCACCAAAGACGCGCGCTTCCGACGCTCCTCAGATCACCTCGCAGCAGCTTCATCATCTACTACGCCTATCCGCTCTCCCGCCACCAGAAACACCCGAACAAGAGCAGAAGATGCTCGACACACTGGCAGCACAATTACACTTTGTGGGCAAGATACAGGACGTGGATACAACGGGTGTAAAGCCTCTTCGGGCGATACGTGATGAGTCAAAGGCTGCGGAAGAAGAGCAGACTATCACCTTGGAGACACTAAAGGACGCCCTGGGCAAAGAGAAGGTCGTAGGCCAGCATCACAAGCGGTTACAACGAGATGCTACGCCGGTTGACGCTCAAGATGTTGAGGACTGGGATGTGCTGGGCTCGGCTGAGCGAAAGGCCGGTAAATATTTTGTTGTCGAGAGCGAGAGGCCGCAGGAATAAGTCTTTCTACGAATGGTATACAGCCACGAAGGACATCAGGACGATCGGGAAGCAGCGCACGTACTTGTTTGCAACGTTTGTATCTTCGTTGGTAAACAAGTAAACTCCAAGGACCAGGGATAGTGCCAATCCAGAGAAACACAACACCAGCCTCCATATGACGACCGTCGTAAATACGAGACAACAAGAACCAACAACAAGCCAGAGATTCATTCACCAGAGACCGACCTCCTTCCTGCACTTTGTGCAACGCTTAACGACATGCGCTTCCACATCACAGCCGCAAAAGGGCGCCTCATCCATATCGTCGAATTCTGGTGTCGACAGCCGACTCAGCCTAGGTGTCGGAGGAGGTGTGGGGCCTGCGAACGAATTCATAGCTGTTTTCGTCTTCGAAGGCAGTGTTTGGCTCGACTTTGCTTCGGCATGAAGCATCACCGATTTTGATCTAACTTTGGACGAATGCTTGGCGGAAGTCACGTGTAACTCCGAGCTGGGTTCCGCGACTTTCCTTCGAGGTGCGGGGTGAGATTGTGACGAGACTTGTTCAAAGCTGCTTTGTGGGTATGAGTCTTCATCTCCTTCGGGGTATAGGACGAAATTGGTGTATCCCTGGACTGTTGAATCAACTTTCCAATCCGCCCAGCGGTGACGACGAGATTCCGCGATCTGAACACTGCTTCCATCGTAGTACGTCGTCTGACGGTACTCGTGCGTATCTTGCTTCCTTAGTAGAAAGTCTGATGCCTGGAGAGCTGGTTGTGTGGATGGTGTCGACGGCATGGTGACAAGATGGTCCAACCGGCACCATGAAATATCAGGAAAGAGTTGGAAGTGGTCTTGAATGACTTTTCAGCACCTTCAGACCGGTTCTGAGATGAAGAAGAGATGTGGTGGGGTGGTTGAGCGGAGAGAGTAGTGGGGGGGAAAGAACGATGAAGGGTCCAAGAGGTGGGTGGTGGGCGGTGCGAGTATATACAGTGCGGGATCAACTCGCCAAGCCCCATCTCGCCTGACACCCTAGACCTCCTGCACTACCACCACACCCCTTGTGCGCTCTGTTTCTCTATGCCAATCGAATCCGAAGCTCTCATTTGGTATGGAAAGACTGGATTCGTCCAAAAAGACAGGGATTTGCACAACTTGGATGTTATAGTGCACTTTTGCATAGTTCCACATTGGGATATAGGTGTGTCTACTCGTCGAGGTCACCATGAGCATCCAACCCAGAATGAGAAGGACTTGCGAGTACTCGAAGCCAATATGGAGACTGTGTTTGTTCGATGCATCATGTCTTCAAGATGCTCGAATGTTGACCTTGTCGTCAGTGGCTCTCGTCCTCGATCCTAAGCATATCCGGGTGGCATACCACTTCCAATGCCTCACATAGTATAATTTACAGCCCCTTCAATACTGTGGGACACTAATCTCAGCCTTTTTGTCTGATTTTCAGCACCTCCGATGGACATTGTGGTGTAGTTGGACGCTCAAGTTTGCAGAGCGCGTGCCAAGGCATTACCAAAATGTCAACCCTGCAAATCATACGAAGACCATGTGGCTGCATGACTCTCCAGATCCAACTCATGTATATAATCGTCTCATAACAGAAGAACTCCATCTAGGACCTACTAGCTAGCACTTAAATATACTAGAGTCACCGAATCTACTACCAAACACTTGGGCAACAAGGTCTAGTCCACGTGACTTCTTATCAGAACAGGCGCTCAAATGTCTTGTCTTGTGTACGTGACAGCTGCTCTCTTCAATACGATAACGAGTAGAAAACATATTGTCCGGATGCCGACATGGCACTCTATACAGACTTTGGGGCAAGTAGAAAGTGAGCGCTGCGCATTCAGAATGCGCATCAGTCCTGCCTTTCTCCTCCGTCCAACTCTTCGTAAATTCCAAGTAACGAAAAAGAATGGACTGCCGAATAAGTCAGATAACACGACGAGTTGGAATAAGAGATTTCTACATTATTTGATTTGTGTTTCTGAGATTACAAAGTTACAGGGAAAATACTCGACTCTTTAGCCAGACGGCAACTATGCCGTTCATGCATGCAATCTATGCTTTCTCTCTCCCTCTCTCTCTCTTTCCTTGGATGATAAAAATACAAAGCCCCATCCATCCTCTCTCTGGTCATCTCTTACTAAACCTGCCAGTCAAAGCAGAAACAATCTGTGAAAACGTAACAAAAAAGAACGCCGCCGGTTTGGAAAGGAACACTCTCTCCATCATCCCAATTCCCATGCCATGGTATTGTCCCCCCTAAATCCCCCTTCTCCTCTCCCAAAAAAGAAAAGAAAAACACTCCCAAATTAACGCCCATTCCAATGCATGTTTTGTTACACAATTCCCCCTACTCCGGACTCGCGCCCCTAACAGACGGCTCCACACTCGCACTCGCCCTCCCTCTATCCTTGCCCCCACCACCACCAGGACCCAAACTAAGCTTAATCTTCTTCTTCTTGGGTGAATCTCCACCGACGTCATCAGCGTCACGGTCGCGCTTGCCCTCGCCCCTTTCACTACTCTCGCTGTGTTTTCGATCCCCAAGATCAGGTCTACCACCACTACTAGTTTTCAGCTTGACTTTGAGCGTGCCATTGCCATTGCCGTTGGAAGTGGTAGTCGAGTTAGAAGATGGCTTATCACGATCAGCCTTCTTGACATAGGACGACTTCTTCTTCATCTTGCGGCGTTCGGGGGTATCGTTGTCCATGTCATCAGCGTCGGCATCGTCGTCCTTTTCGCCCTTGAGACGTTTAACGGGCGAGATGCCCTTTGTTTTACTACTCGTCTTGGGGTTGTTGGCGGATGACGACTCGCCGGGCGCGGGCGTGCCCATGCGACTTCCCAGCGGCGTGTTGCCGAGACCTGAACCCGTGCCGCCGTTTTGTCCCGTGAGTTTGGCCATGGCGTTGCGACTACTCTGCCGCCCGCTGATGCCGAGGCACTTTTCTAGGTGCTGTGCGAAGCGCGTTATGAGTAAGCTGCGCTTGCAGTTGGGACACGTGTGCCAGGGGATGTAGGAAGCGGGTTTGCCGCCCGTGTTGAGCTTGATTTCCTTGGTGTCGCCGCCGGCCATGTCTGTGTCTTGGGAGCCGGGCGTGCCTACGCTCTCCTTCTCGGCGTTCTTCTGCTGCTGCTTGATGAGCTCGCGTTCCTTCTTGCTCTTGGCCATGTCGGTGGGGAAGGGGTTGCCGTAGACGTCGTGGCCCGATCGCTGGACGAAAGGGTAGAGCATGCAGTACTCTTTGGTCAGGTCTGGGTTCTGCATGCCCTTGCCCATGATGGGGTGCATCAACCGGGGCAGCTTGCAGTGTGGACATATTATCTCAGGCGTTGTCTTGAGCGGATTGCCCTTGAGGAAGACACGTCCATTGTCGTACTTTGCTGCCGATGTCTCAGCGACGGGTATCGACGTGGCGCCTGTCGTGTTTTGCTTCTGCGACTGCGGCTCGAGGTTTGCCAGGGCGATGGACTCGGCTTGCGTGGCGGCCGACTGCATGCGGAGCAGCTTCTCGGATCGGTGGCATGATAGGGCCGTGGTGAAGACGATATTGCTCAGCAAGTCGTCGAGGATGTTGGTAGTCTGCGACACGTTTCTTAGCAAGGCGCATCATGGGAAGGGTCATGTAACCGAGGAGGCGGTTTGCGGCGGACAGGCCCTACCAGTTCTTGGAGCACGTCTGACGGCAGTCCCACGGCAGCGTCGACGCCCTCGCCCTGGTCGTCGGCCGGCCGGTCCTCAGACATGTCGTTGACCGTCGGGCGGAGTTGTTCACGGCGGAGTGGTTCAGGGCGTGGAGAAAGTGTTGCTGAGACGTTAGCGTCAGTTACGGGAGATATCGATGGGCTTCCCATGCATCCCTGCTCCGGGACCCATTTAGCGCATGCAGCCAAAACTACCTACCCCACACAACGAGAACAGCGTGTTCGCAAAAGACTCCACACACGCGTCGGGTATCATTTCATCCATCTAGACCTGTTTACACTACCTCCCACCGAGCCAGTCTGCCTATGGTGCTTCCCGCCTGTCTCACAATGCACACGCCATCGCTACCTACTCTGTGCACCGCCAGATTCGCAATAGCTGTTGGCATGCCCTCTGCAAGGTTGTAGTTGCCTGTTGTAACAAAGCCCATTAGATCCGCCTCGTCGGGGACAAGAGGATAGTCTTCCTCGCCTGCTTTCGATGCACGCTTTGTGCCAGATTGTGGCATCAAGGACAGCCATCTGCTTCGGACTTGTGCGTCTGCAGGCAGACGGTAGATGCGAGCGCAGTCCGTAGGGGTACCTCGCTGTACCATTGTGATCTTGGCCGTGAACACATCTGGCGACGGCCAAGAGTCGCCCAACGTAGCGTTGCCCTTCTCAATCAAGTCAACTGCATCTCTGGGAGAGAGCTGTCTGACAGGGGTCTGGGACTCTCCTGACTCCTCTCGACGAGTGGTAATCTCTCCTTTCCATCTTGGAATCAATCGCTCCCAGTCGCAAGACCAGGGATCTCCAATCTCACCCTTCCTACCATTGCCGAGATCAATCGTCGACCACTCAATCCTCTTTCCCTTTGGACGCTTAGTCCATTCGTGCTTCCTCACCTCTCGCTCACGTAGTTCCCAACTCCATCCAGCATCCGTGCCAGGATGATCGTACGGGAAGTGTGGCTTCGAACGCTCAAAGTCAACCTGGCGTCTTTCTTTCAAGCCGCCAAATAGTGGGGTTTCGCCTGTAGATACTGGGTAGCGCATCATCTGTCGCCATACGGGCATCACGCATCTCCAGGGAAGAAGAACAGTCCAAGACTTGCTTTCTCGCGATACAAGTACAAGCGTCGGAATACGCGGATCAGTTGAGCGTGCCTCTGGGTCTTCACCTAATGTGCATGCGCTCTTCCGACGATTTATAGACTTCTGAGACGGCACGGTTCGTTGTGCGGCTAGCCGGCTTTTGGTATCGAAGATGGAGGCTGGGATTGAGGCTTTGTCGGGCGGCCAGGTTGCAAGGGTTTCCGTCAAGGCAGTCAGAGATTGTTGGTCGTATGCCACGGGCGACGTGCGAGGAGGATCGCGAAGCCGGGGATCTGAAATGTCAAAAGACAAAAGCGCACCGCTTGGTAGTGATGCAGCGTCTGTGACAGAAGCCAGGGCGGGCCAAAGAGACTCTGGAGCATCGGGCCCTGCATCTGGGGAAGATACGGGAGCAAGAATCGAGCAAAGGGCTTCTGTAGCGGCCGGACCTGTGATCTCGATAGAGCCAATATCGAAGCGGAGATCTCGAACCGTGACAGCTGGCTTCTGCACTTTGGCCATCCTGACCACTTGATTCCAGAGTTGTAAGAAAGCGCTCGGGTGCACACGAACAAAGGCTTTCGTCTTGTTGCTGCCTGCATGCGGGGCACACCAGATGACAGTCACTTGGGCGATTTTCCTCAGCGGCTTGGCTTCTCTTTCGTATATCCAGCCTTCCCAAACTCTGGTACCATTTCTCCACTTCCTGGCCCTGCCTCTGTTCTGCCACGGGTCCTCTGCACTGTCTACTGCAAAGTGCAGACCCTTGAGTAGCCCGGCTATACTAGCCTCAGGGCCCTCGAGACTGAGAGTTGACATGTAGCTTACATCCCACGCAACGGCTCCGCGCTGGGTTGCGGCTCTGTGTGTCAGACGATATGCCTTGACTGCTGGTTGCAGTGGGATTGCGAAGCGCCAGAGCGGCTCCTTTGGTTCTGTCATCTTTGCACGCTTCGTATGCCATAGATGTGTGGGTAGCCATGTCTTATCTCGCTGTCGTCTGCGGAATCGAGATGGAGGGGTAGCGGGCGTAGCTAGAGCAGGAAACTTGCGCTTCGGCTTTGGTGGTGAGGGCTTCATGACTTGCTCCGGCGCATCCTCCATTGCTGCGTCCCCGTCATGGTCTTTCCCAGCTGCAGCGGTGTTGCCGTTGCTCCTCTTCTTGGCGACCTGCCTGCTGTTCTCCCTCCCCGCCTTCCTTAGATGCTTCTTCTTCCCTTTCCCAACACCGCTCCCGCTAGTGCCTCTTGAAATGGGTGTGTTGTCTTCTTTAGCCTCCTGTCGCGCCCTGACCCGCAGTCTCTTTGGTACGCGATGCGGATTATGGCTCGCCGTCCTCCTCCTCAACCCCCTCGGCACATCTTGAAAAGCTCGTCGCGACTGCCCCTTCTTGGCCGCCTTGATGGCGCCCTCGAGCGATTTGATCTCATTTTCGTGCGACTTGAGAAAGTTTTTGACGTTGATCTCGCCATTGGGGTACGCGTTGCTAGTCGGTATGGCGGGGATGACGTGCTGCGGCCTCTGTTGGAATCGGGTGCGTTTGACAGGATTGCCAGGACCCGTGTTGCCTGGCGTCTGCTTCCTCTTTCTCGAAGTATCGGCCATGGTGGATCTGGAACAGGCGTCGCTATAGCATCAAGGCTATTCGAGCTCACTGGGCCAACGGTCGCTGCGACTGAATCTTTTAGCGAGACGGTCCCCACGCCGACGGGCTTAGCGCGGAGTCATTCGTCACGTCAGCACGTGTCTGGCCGAAGCACTGGCAGTCCCTACCAACGCCGACTTGGACCCTTTGGTATTGGTCCAAACGTGCCAGGCCAGCAACGGCATTCTGTTTCATCCGCCAGGCCCCTAGCTCGTCTTTTGATTAATTACTCCATTCACAACATCTTCATTTCGCCATTTCGGCCAGGTGCTCCACCTTTCTGACCTCCCCTGTGATTGCATCGTCCCCCCTGCAGGAGTGCGCAGCCACCATGCTGCCCTGTCCTTGTGGTCCTGGACTGGTCCTGATCATTCAATGTTTTCCCACACCTTGTTACTACACAACAACAGCATCTTTTCTTTGAACACACGCACGCACACAACGCATAGCCATTCTGACATTTACATCTACCTATTGTTACTGTACCGCATACACACACACACACACACACACACCTACTGCTAGTACATAATGATTCACACATACACAACCATGTCTCCCCCCTCTTATTCTTCCGATCAAGTGTGCAAGATGAACTTCAGTCCACTGCGATCGCCCTCACCAAGAAAACGATTCGCCGGCCACGAGCGAAACCAATCAGAAGCCATCCAACGCCCACGACCCATCAGCGTAGCAAGCAACTCAGTCATGGTACAGCACGCAAAGAGAGCTTCAATATACGTCTCAGATGCTTCCATTTTGCTCCAACAACGCAATCCCATTGCCTCGCCCATGTCACCAACAGACTCGGGCATGGCCTCGCCAACCAGCGAGTCTGGAGAAGTCACGGATCACTACGCCATCCTCGAACTCACACCCGAGGCCACCACGGACGAAATCAGAGCTGCGTACCGCCGTCTGCGCTCCGTCTACTTTGCCAATGACGCGAAAAAGTATCGAGCACTGCAGGCCGGCTTCGACTGTTTGATGGACCCGGAGGCACGCCAAGCCTACGATGCAACCTATCAGCCAGCAGCTCCAACTTCGCTCTCCAGCATTGACGAAATCTTGGACCAAGGAAAGCACTGGCGCAAGGACAGCGCTCATGGCGACGATCCAGCAGTCATTCCCGAAGAAGAAGAGGAAGAAGAAGAGCAGCAAGTACGGACTGACGACCCTAATTGGGGCCTTAAACAGTTCCAGCCTATCCTTGAATCGGTGCTGGGCTCCGAGCCATATTTCTCATACGTCCCTCTGCCTACGTATTCGCTGCCTGTGTGTAGGTCGCCCAAGTACGTTGGACAGTTTGCGGTGAACGCGTGGCCCAACTAGACGGTCTCGTCTCATCGATATCCGGATTCAACCCACTCGACATGGCTCGAGTTCTTTACCATGTTCATATTCATAGCAGAGCAGGTCTTGCATTTGGGCGGGTTTGCTTTGTGGCGTCTTGGGCGGTCTTTTGTTCCTCTGTCCACTTAGCGTTGTTTTCATCAAGCGGCGATTCACCATCATCTGCGATTTACCCTCGTCTTGTTATATACCTAAAGTCCCAACTTTACTGCAAATTGGCCACACTCACTATACCTACTCGGATATCGAGCAACATTGAATGATAATGTATGACACACATGACACTTGTCAGATTTTGAGCGTGCCTGTGCCAACATTTGTATACATCACGAAATTCAGCATGGAATGGCAACTAAATGAACCAGAGTCGCATTGCTGATATCGATCGCTATGATACAGGGCTCCAAGTTGCGAACGCCACTCTGATCCAATCGTCTCCAGCTCTAAGAAATTGTCGCATGCTAATTGTCGCCATGGCGAAATATTTACTGGTCGAGCTTTACGGGGAAGTTGCCAGCCTCTGTTCACAAATCAGCAACTATATTCATCTTGGACGCCTCGACTGCATGCGCAATGGGGCTTGGGAGGAAACACTCACCACGCTGGTCGTCCCATCGCGATGTCCAGCCGCTGGGGCAAAGGGACTTGTAGGCCAACATGAACTATATCCATCAGTACACAGGTCCGTGTCTCATTCGGCTTCTGCGGGGTCGCGCACCTGGCGGCAGGGAGCAAAGTCCTCGCCCTTGGCGATGATGCACTTGTGGTAGTCGACGTAGTTTTGCCAGCAGTGCTTGGTCTGGTTCTGGTTGGGGAAGCGGGCATCGAAGCCTGTGTGCGCCGAAGCTTTGTTAGCAGGCCATATCGCATATCTGGAGCTGTGAAAGCTATTTTGGCAGGCGGTGCAGGCAGGCGTGCGAGTCCGGGGGTGGCGTACCAGCTGTGCGGTGGGAGATTAGCTATCAATTCGAGAGACTGCGGAGTAGCGGGAAAAGCTTACCAGTGACAAACTTGAAGGGCTTGGTTACAAGCTCGTCGCCGTTCTCGCTGTCAGACATGGTTGCGATGGGGGTGGTTGGAGTTTGTCGAGGGGTAGGGTGGCGGCAATGGCTGGGCTTGGTGTGGTCGTCAAAGTGGTGACGGAAGTGAAGTTGTGAGGTTGCGATGGTTCGACCCGAAACGCATTGTCCACACACAATTCGCTCGGCGTTTTCCGGGCGAACCAGGGCCGCGAGCTCTCTCAGCATCTGCTTGCCTGTGACGAAACAGCCATTATCGCTCCCCCCCAACGACGACGCCAACTCTCCACTCCAATTAATAACACACAAACACCGCCAACATGTTCAAAGCTACCAGGGCCCTGTCTATGCAGCCGACACGCATGATGGCTATGCAGCCTACGCGCATGGCTGCCATGCGCCCGAGCCCCCAGCTCTTCATGAGGCAGACAATGCGCATGCGCAACCCTGTGCCTGTATGAAATGCCACATCTCACTGTGACTCGGGAATTGATGCTGACAACATGACAGAAGGAGGAGCATGGCGGTAAGCCAACCACAGCCGCCGCATATCGCCATCCAACATGAATTGACGACGTACAGCCCACACCGTATCCCAGCGTATCCGCCAGCTCAAGAACATCCCCACTGAGATTTGGCCTCTGAGTACGTTTTGTTCCCTCCCCCTCTATGCTCCCTTTCGAGCCTCTTGCTAACCCCAATATCTAGTCATCGTTCTCGGGTAAGCCCCTCCATTCCGCTTCGAATACTCTAACGCAGGTGGTCTGATACGTTCGCAGCATCGCCGTCGGCATGGCCTTCTTCTCCATCACCCGGAAACTCTGGGTCGACAAGACCCTCCGTCTCAAGCGACAGGGCAAGCAGGAGTAGGCGCCTGGGCTTGCAAGGAACCGGATACAATAAAGATGGAATCGGCGGGCTTGGAAGGGCTCCAGCAGCCATGTGTATAGGTACAGCATACGGGACAGAGTCCTCGTCAAGTTCGAAATCAAGCATAAGATTCATTGCGAGTTGCGTCTAGACGTGCAAAAGGAAGTCATCGAGTGCAATGGCGAGATCATCAAGGACTTTGAATCTTAGCAAGTGCGGCAGAATGTGGCACGATTCCTGAAACCGTGCTTGTGATATGCTGTATTTCATACCTTCTCCTAGAGGAGAAAAAACTTTGTGTAACAAGAACATGGTATCAAATACATTTTTCCAACGCCTGCAAACGCCAAAGAAGGACTGAGATTAGACTGGCTTCGGTCCTGCCTCGTCAAGACCTTCCAAACCCTGCATAGGGTCCATGGGCCCATTGGCCTCGTCTTGGGTCTGTTCACTAGCTTTGCGATCCTCTTCACTCACAGCATGCTTGGCCAACCAGCCCTCCTGCATTTTGTTAGCATAAAAAGTCGCACATGTACAGCAACATGTTACACACCTGCTCCCAGATGGCTGTTTTGCTGCCTAGTCCTTCGTTTGCGTCTTTCTGTGGTTTGGCTGCGGCTACCTTGATAACGGAGCCGTACAGCTCGCTACGGTCCATGTTGTCAATAGCGTCTGTCGCGTCGGTTGCAGTCTCAAACTCGACATAGCCGAATCCCCGATGTTGATCGCCCTGGTTCTGGTTTTCCGGTTTGGGCAAGTTGACTTCAACAATGTCGCCAAATGGCAGGAAGGCATGGAAGAGCGTCTGCTGAGTGACTGCTTGGTCGAGGCCGCCGACAAAGACGGTAGCCTTTAGTCGTGACGTGTCTGATAGATTGGACATGGCTGGCTGTGGGTGCGAATTCGGAAATGGCTTGTCGATGGTCGCGTTGTCGAGATTCGGAGCTGAAATTCGATATCACGTGGCTAGCGGGACCCACAGTTGGCCGCGCCCGCCATGGACCAGGGAAGGACAGGTGGATGCTCCGTTGATGGTGAAGCACGTCGTCGCCTTGCTTGCATTCCGCGCTCAAGACACATTGCGGACACTCCTTACTCTTTTGCACAACGCATACCTCTCTTCTCACTCCCAGATCCCCTCACTTGTCCCTTATTTTGTTCGTGCCTTATTCCCCAATTCGTTAATCTGACACCGAGGCGCCATCACCGCCCAACACCGTCATGGTCCGCCTACGAGAAATCCCCAGGACGGCCTGTTTCGCCTGGTCGCCAGGCCCCACGCAGCCTCTTGTTGCCACTGGAACCAAGGCCGGGGCTGTGGACGCCGACTTTTCAAACGAAACACAATTGGAGCTCTGGGAGCTCAAGTTGGACGACGCCGAGCAGGGCGTGGAGCTCAAGCCCGTTGCTACCGTGAGCGTCGAGTCAAGGTACCAAGCAATAGTTCAGCCCATATAGCGGTGTTATGTAACTAAGCAAACATGGCAGGTTCAACGACATTGCATGGAGTCAACCCAGCGAACAGTACCCGCGGGGCATAATAGCGGGTGCGCTCGACAGCGGGGCACTAGTCCTATGGGATGCAGAGAAGCTGCAGGCAGGCGAGGGTGAGGATGCGGAGATTGACCAGATCGACAAGCACACGGGTCCCATCCAGGCGATACAGTTCAACCCCTTCCGATCCAACATCCTCGCCTCGGCCGGTGCCAAGGGCGAGC